AAGCAAGCGAGTGCTTGTCACTTATTATTAACTGTTTTTCTTTGTCATCTCTCCACTGATTTTTTTTTTGACTCATCCTAAATGTATGCAATAGCCTTATATATAATATAGTATATAATAAAATATATCAATAAACTAATTGAAATAATGTAGTGGATTGCTTTTAGAAACAGTATTTACTCTTGTTGAAGGGTTCCAATTCTGTTCCCAATTTGAAATTTTGATTCCAATTTTGAAATTCATTTCCCAAGCTTACCCTAATATAAGCCAATCTATTTTAGCATACTTTTTTGTGCTCCTAATAACAAATTTTATTTTTAACTGATTAATTTCGAATTTTAGAAAAAAAAATTTCATAATTGAGTCACGGAATTTTTATAAATTGTTTAAATTTTTTATTTACTTTTCGTTTTTCTTTACTCTATATAGAAGAGTCTATTAACTAGAAACCTATATTTTTTTCACTCAAGTCATATAATTTTTACGCGTAATACTTACTTACATCTACCACTTATTGGTAAAAAAAAAACCAAAAAACATACATAAAATCCTTTTAAGACTCTTCTCTTGTAATATGAAAAAAAAAAATTTTTTTTTACCAAAAACACAATTTTTTTTTTCGAATACATTTTTAACAGTAAAAACAAATTATCAACCACCAATGAGGTAGTTTAATTACCCCACCTCCTTCTACTTTCTCCCCAAAAAATATGTTACATTTTACAATATCCTTGAGTTTTAAAAGAAATGCACAGAGAGAAAAAAAATAGAGAAAAAATAAAAGAGAAAAATAAAAAATTCTGGCATCCTTGGCTTATTTAAAATAAAATGAAAAATAAAAATGCAAAAAACGAAAATTACATTAAAATAAAAAAAAAAAATTAAGTGAGTAAGAAAAAATAATAATAAAAAAATTACAAAAAAAATTAAAATCTAGGGCATATGTTTGTTTGTTTGCTGGATTATTATTGCTCTTGTTGTTGTTTTTTTCTACCAGTTTCTCCGTCCTATTCTCATCTCATCTCTTGTATTATTTCTTAACACACCATATAACATATACTTATACCAACCATTACATTACCCCCTTCTCCCGTTTCTTACCATACCAAAATACCATACTTTAATTTTTTTGTTTTTGTAGGTGGTTGATTATATGTCGAACTCATAACTAAGTTGTTATCCTCTTTTTAAATATTAAAAAAAAAACAACGAACGAATATCCATTTTATTCTTCTATACCTATCACACTCCAAAATTTACCCTACATTTTCTATACATATTAAACTTTTACATCATATTGTATGCGGGAAGGATTTACATATTTTATATATGGTGCAAGAAGAAACAAGACGAAGAAAGAAAAGGAGAATATAAAAGAACTAAACCTACAAATTTCAAAAGGGTGCGATTTAATGGAGCATTGCCACTTTATATTTTTATATATTATGTGTTATATTCATGTCTATTTATATATAAGTATATTTAATTTAGATGTTAACAATAGTACAAGACAACAACAACAACAACAACAAAAGAACAACAATAATAAAAATAACTTTATAAAAATAAAATGTACCCTATACATAGAAAGGATAATGCTTTTCTCATGATTACTATATTAAAGATACAATGATTTACATAGTCATCATAATGTAAATAAGAAAAGTAGTTATTTAAAAAAAAAATATGCTTTAATATATTTAATCAAAATAACAGAAAAAAAAGTAAAAAAATAAGGTGGAGAAGGTGGAAAAAATCAAAAAGGAATTCGAAGGACAGCAACAGTAACAGCAACAACAATTACGACAATATTTTACATTATTGTGTATAACTTATTTTCTGGATCACTAACTTTTTAAATATTAATTTTATTCAATTATTATACAAAAAAAATAAATTCAAAATATTTCCAAGTAGCTATACAAATGCAGAGAAAAGAAAATTAATAATTTTTTAATTAAAAATATGTAAATAATTTATACACACAAAAAAAAGAAGAAAAAAAAATCAGAAAATAAACAGATGTTGTTTGACTTACACAAGGTTACAGACATTTTTTTTTCTGAAATATTTATAATTTATTAATATAAAGGTCTCATTTTTATTAATAAAAAGGTCTCTTTTAATTATTGTTAATAATTAGGGAACTATGTTGAAAAAATGCATAACAGGAATTCGAGTTTTTTTTTTCTTTCTTCATTTGCTTTTTGGAACTGTTTATATAGGTCGATTACTTTAATTTAAAATTTTATATTTAAATATAAAAAAAATTTAATGAGTCCTTAGTTTTACTTTTATTATGTTAACCTTTCTCATTCACAATATATAGATTTGTAGATTATATACAGATTATATAATCTAATAGACTATGGGGGGGTTGTACTATCTCCGGTATAACAGTAAAATGCATTAAATTATTTTATTTTCTTTAATGATTTATTATATGTACGCCTTTTTAAGCATATTCTCTATAAAATATTTAAGGAAATGCAGTAAATGTTTTAAGAAGACGGGTTGTTATTGACTTATGGTTGTTAATGACTTTTATTTACTATTGTGAAAAAAAGGACTATGAAAATGGAATCAAACTAATAATACGAGTAATTATAATGAAAATTTCAATTGGTATACTCTGTACTCAGTTTGAGTTTATAATTAATATTATCATAGTTGATTTGGAAGGGTTTTAATTTTTATTCAGTGAAGTTTTTCAAAATTTTAAAATTTAATTTACAGTAGTAATGTACATTATATAATTTTCTATTTAAATCTATAATTCTAATCCATTCTAAAGGGTGTTAATCAAATTTATTTTACAAATTATTACGAAATTAAGAAAATTATTACAGTTCAATTAATCATATATTTATTATGAATCATTAATTTTGAAATTTGAACATAGTATAAATTAAAAAATAACAAAATAATCAAAAGTTAACAGAATAATAATGTAAAAATTATGATATGATTAAAAATTTTGTTTAAATATTCATTAAAAATCATTAAAAATAATTTATTATCGTTTGATTATAATTTACATTTGATTTATGTGTGATTCATACTCACATACTTAGGGTTCTAACACAAAAGTATCTAAAGTACAACAGCTGATAGCAAAGCAAAATATGTACGCATATAGGAATTATATAGAGAGTATTAAAAACTATTTTATTTTTCGTTGCATTCTTATTTACCATTTACACCCAGGAAAGGTTTTGTTCAATAAAATTTTGTTCAATATTAAATGCAATCCATTTTACTGTATCTTATCTCCATATTAGAAATTTAATCAAACAAAAAAAAAAATCTTATCAACTAGAACACTAAATAAATAAGAGGTTTTTTATGGGTGCAATGTAATAATGTCAGAAGAAATAATGTAAAATTGTTATATTATTTACGGTATTAATTAAATAATCGTATAAAATTAATATTTTTTACAATTTATTGCCATTTAATTTTGTATAATTCAAATTCAAACAAAATATATATTTTTTCTGCATGAAATGTGAATTATTGCTTGCAATTTCATGCAATTCTTTCTAGTGCTACCACATATTTCAAAAAATAAATAAATAAAACAATAAAATTAATTATAAAATTTTTTAATGAACACATTTTTTCTATAACTTCCTTGTAAAATAAAAGAAATTTTGAAACTTCAAAAACAGCAGATATGGTCATTAAAAGAATTAGAATTTCCAAAATCTGTAAAAGGGTACCGCTCCAATTTACATAGGATTCCATTTGAAAGCGTATGATAAAAATGTATTTGATATTGTTTCCTTTGATTTTTTTTCTATACTTCTTCAATTCCTCTAAATTTTTACTTTACAATAAAATTCGTGCATTTCACTAATTCAACTATATTACATGTTGCCAAACAAGTCAGGTGTGGTTGTTCATAACAGTGTTCCTACACAGACGTAAAAAAAAAATAAACAAAAACAATACTGAAAACGTATAAGTCTAAGTATAACTTTGTAAAAAATGTGTAATAGCGATAAAGGTGCCCTTTGTATTTATTTATTTATTTTGATTCCGGTATTGATAAGCTGCCAATAGAATGTGTTTTTACTGATAAAATTTATATTCTTATCAAAACAGATTAAGATTTTATTATACCAATTCAATTTTTTTCTTTAATTTTACCGGGAGTGAAATTGATTTAATGGATTTGAATCAATTTTGTTGTAAAAATCAAATTGTTAATTGAAATTAGAGATGCAGTATAAAATTTTACTCATTGGTAATAGATTTTAATAAAAAAAAGCAATTTACCTATAAAACTAATAGGTCATGGATCAAAACTTAATATTGTGAACAACAAGAATCTTAAGAACAAGAAACTTTAAATTAAAGAGAAAAAAAAAATTTATTAATCTTTTACCACAACACAAAAAATTATTAAATTTAATAAATTTATTTTAAATACCAAGTTTAAGTATTTCAGAAATTCGTACAAGTGTTGTTGAAAATTTTTTATAATGAAATTTTTTAAATTCATGTAGAGCAAAATAATTAATATTATATCGTAATATTAAAATTATTATTATCTTCCAATCAGATTGTCATAATTATAATGCATAACAACTATTGCGAGTGTACCTAAGCATAATATCACTCTAGAAAAAATATGTTGCATATAAAAGTATTCAGAAGCATAAATGACAACGTGCATATAGTTGAACAATTAACCTACTTTTAGTATTGCATAAATGCAGTCGAACAACTTTTTCATTAAAAAAAAAATTTGAATAAATTTCGAATATTATTCGATTAAATAAGATTTTAGTAATAAAGTAAAAGTCAAAATTTTCAGATTATCAACGTGAATGCTTTCCAAGATTTTCCTAGATTTAAATATTAGAGGTTTTTATCTCGTAATTGATTTTATATCCCGTGTATTTTATATTAGTTTTGCGATTATTTTTTCTTCTTCTTCTTCTTCTTGTGTTAGGCAGAGTGCCTGTTTTGAACATTATTTACAGCTTTATCGTTTATTGTTCTTGTGAGGTTGAGGTCCAACATTCGCGCCACCTTTTGGGCGGTCTGCCTACTGGTCTCTTCCCACTCGGTTTGCTGGTCATGGTAATTTTCGCAAGTCGGTTGTCACCCATTCTATTGACGTGATCTCTCCAGTATCGCCGTCTGTCACGGGTCCAGCGAACGATATCTTGAATGTTACACTCCTCTCTTATGTCGGTACTGCGTTTTTTGTCTCTTAGTGTGTACCCACATATCTGCCTTAGTGTCTTCATTTCTGTTGTTCGCAATAATTGTTTTGTTTTGGACGTGTCAGATCTTGATTCCGCGGCATATGTCAATATAGGACGCACGCATGTTTTGTAGATACGTATTTTATTATCTAACAGCATGTATCTGTTACTCCATATTACATCACGCAAGTATCCCGATATTGCAGCGCCTTTACTGGCTTGTGCCCTTACTTCTCTATTTGAATCCCGGTCACTGGTCACTTCAACTCCCAAATAATTGAAACTCATCACCTGTTCAATTATAGTGCCGTCTATCGCCAATTTACAACGGAGTGAATCTTTCGAAATGGTCATAGATTTTGTCTTTGACACTGATATTTTCATATTGTAGTGCTCTGCAGTAGTCTTGAATGTGTATAACAGCCTCTGTAAATCATCTTCATTTTCAGCTAGATTATTTTTTAGAATTTTCATTAAATCAACTGAGAATTATTTTAAACTGCAAAAAATCATAAAAATTTAGGAAAAAATTCATTTTTAGATGACAAATATTGTCAATAGTCCGAGATTTTGATATTCATTTTTGAATAAAAAGGAATTTAAAATTAATTGCTGTAGTTTATTTAAGTTTAAAACAATTTATTCAAAACCAACCTTTTTGGAAATTATTCAAAATTTAGCCATATACATAATATACACAATGTTCCAAATACTAAAGTTCTACTATTCTTTTTTCTATTTTTTAATTTGCAAAAATTATTTTAATAGTAAAGTAAAAAGAGCAAAATATTCAGGACGTAAAATAAAGAAAGAAAAAAAACTCAAGGATTTTCATCAATTTAAGTAAATCTCAATTTATTTTGAAAAACTATTTTAAATATTTTTTTTACAAAAAAAAAAAAATAGAAATAAAAAAAAATTAAAGTAAAACATACGGAAAAAGATAACGTTTAAAACAAAGAGACAAGAAAAATTACAAAAAACATAAAAAAGAGCAAAAATAGGAAAAAGAAACGTCCTCGATCTCCTAGAATATTTAATCATATTTTTATGCTTACTTTTTATATACTTATATAAATATTTACGTACTGCATACAAATAAAAAAAAAATATTGTCCTTATTTTTTAATCATCCTAATTTCATGCATCCCTCACATTCATTATGAACTTTTCATTAAAGTTTTTCTTTTCAATAATACGAATTTTCCCTTCACTTTTCGGTTCCAAAAAAATAATAATAATAATAACAATAATAATAATGATAAAACCCTGGCATTTTTTTTCCTTCTTAAAGTAAAATCCTTGTTATAAATTTACATAATATTATTTCCTGCCTCCTTCTTACTCCACCCATATAATAAAAAAATTTCTTTCATTTTCATATCTCTTTAGACTTTCTTTCTGTATACACATAATTTCAAAATTGAATAGTAAATATTCAATTGAGACAGTCAGTTGATTCAAATAAATTGAAATTGAAAGAGGGAAAAAGAGTGAGAGAATAAGAAAATTGAGATGGATATTATAAATTTATGCCTACTTTTTCTTTCTTTTTCTCTTCCTTTTTCTTTTTTGTTGAATAATCAACATTTTCTGTATTGATGACGAAGATGACGACAATGATTATGATGACGATGATTATGATGATGTTGATATTTTGTTAGTAATAACATTTTATGTTTAAAGATGACGTATTATGGGACTAAATTGAATGTGCATATGTCTATATAGTCGTATATAAGAGGGTGGCATATTAAAAATATGATAAGAGAAAGATATGAATGAAAATATGTTTTTGAATGTTTTTTTGTTAAGTGGATGAATTTATAGAAATAAAATTTTTTCATATTTTCAAGAATGAAGTGGGAACTGGGAGTGCGTCTTTATTTTGTACTCCAACTGAATGATTTTGCATAAAATTTAATTTATTGTTGTTGTTCTTCTTCTTTTTCCATTTTTTTTTATTTATTATTTTATTAAATTTTTTTAAATAGAATTTTTATAGCATATACTTATGCACATGGCACATCTATATATTAACAAAATCTAATATAGTCTCTGATATGATTTTAAAGGTCAACGAATTAGTTATGTAATATTTTAAAAGACTGAATGGGCACAAAACACCAAAGTTCAACTTTAAAAAAGAAAGTAGAGTATATAGAAAAAGGGAAAGAAATTTAAAATTAATTTTAAAAAAGTATGACTTGTGAGTTTCTATTCTATTTTTGAGTTACACGCGAGTCATATGACAAATTTTTATTAAATAATAGACCAAATAAAAATAACATTATGATTAATTTAAAAATATGCTATAAGTTCATAATAAATCAATTATTCTTTGTGTTAAATTTCAGAATATACTTTTATAAACTAGAAATATATATAACTCATAAAGTAACAAAAATAATATTATACGACTGTTATACAAAGTAATTGCAAGTTAATAATAATATTTGAATATGTATGTAGAAAACAATTCGTGAATACTTCACATAACATGAACAGCTTAATGTTTTTAAGGGAATATTTTTTTGTTATACTCAAATGAGATTAAATGAGAAGCATTTATAATAAAGAAATTTTAATATTCGATTGAAAATTTTATTAAATCAAATGGATGGAAAAGGATTTTTATTGAAATTCTCTAATTTTGTGTTCTAATTGCATACTTACAGGGTACACGAATTTGTTAAAATGAGTAAAATTAAAATGATTGAATTACATTCTTTAACATGATCGCACACATATAAACAAAATATTTGATAGAGGGAAATTCGGCAATATATTTTAGAATTGATAAAAAGTAGATAAAATTTATATTAATTTTAAATTAGCATGTAACAAATGTGGCTCAAATTATTTATTTAAACCATAAAACATAAAAACATTCATCAAACCGAAGAGAAAAATGCAAAATTATATAGGGTAAAAAAATTAAAAACTTAAAATTTTTGATTCTTATAAGTAGTTTGAAATCACAAAATTTTAATTTTCATATATTTCTGAATAATAAGCCTCGAAAATAGAATTAATTAAAAAAAAAACATTTTGATATTAAGAAATTTGAATAATAATTTCTTGAAAATTTTCTGGAAAGGAATGCCTTGAACTGCGAAACTGTAAATTTTTCATTTAAATGTAAATTTTCTAAAACTTTCCAGTTTTAATTTTAAAAAATGTCTTTCCAAAAACCACTTGTTTTGATAATCTTCCTTAATTTTCATTCTTAATACTATATATGTAATTCAATAATTTGTTAATTAGACTGCTTCTATAGTTCTTACATTTTGCAAGGATTTGAAAATGAAATCAGGAAAACTTTTGCCAAAATTTTAACTTTTAATTTCGTATTCTTTTTACTTTAAATAACATTTTAATTTCATATATAATTTTCAGAAATTCAAAAATAAAATTTACAAGAAATTCAATATTGTGCTTTTACACGAAATTAAATATATATATTTAAAATAATATAAATTTTATTTTAACCCAGATTTATTTTTATATTGAGTACATGGCAAATATTAAATGCAGTCATTTATAAAATTTAATCTTTCAACTATCAAAAATATTTGACAATATTATCGAAAATCAATTCTAAAAATTTTATCAATAATATTACCTATAAAACTATAATTCAAATTTAATTAAAATTTCTATAAAACTAAAATTTAATTAAAATTAAAGTGCAATTGACTTTTTGATTTGAAAACTTTGCAAATATTATCGAGTAAAATTTTAAATAAATTCAAATCAAGCTTTAATTCCCTTTTTCATTAAAATTAATGGGATTAAACTAAAAAAAAACAAAAATTTCCCATATACAACTATTCAGATATTCATTTGGAATAATAAAAAAAAAAATCAACCCAAAAAAATTTTATATAGTTATAGTTTTCAACATAAAAAACCTCAAATATTTTTTTATTAAGGATCAATATTCTATTTACATAAGTATCTATGTATTCGTTAAATATAAGTATTAAAATTACTGCTAAAAATTTTAAATAATTAATTATATTGAATTTTAAATTAAAGTACATACGAATAAGTATTAAATACCTGAATTATATGTGTATAATCCAAGTATACATGATTGCGTTCTGAACAAACACAATAAGTGTATACTTTTAAGTATATGTACATTTGTATATATATATATAGGTAAAAATTTAAATATGTATAATACAATAGTCCTTATGGTAACACAAAATATATTTGGAAATAAGTATATCTAAGGTTTTATCCAAGTATATCCTTAAATAAAAAAAAATAATACGCAATTTCCTTCTGCCCTAAATACAGTTGTAAATAAATACACAAAATATGACACTCGTATAAACAACATAATATCATATGTATGTACATAAATAGAATTCTAAAAACATATCTTTATATCATACCTAATTATATGCGTAGGTATGTAATGTACGTAAGTACTTGTATTTCAAATCCTTTGTGTTTTTTGATTAAATATTGTTTCATTAATTATTGAACATTTTTTACAATTTTTTTTTTTATAATATTACATTTTACCCTAACATGTTATTGTAAAGTATGATAGTTATTTTCCATTAAATTAAAAGTACAAATAAAATCAATGTTCAATTTATAACAATAATTTTATTATTTTTTTTTTTGTAGTTAAAAATTACGTTTTTATGACCTAGAAAAATTTTCAAAATAAAACAGGTGTGTATAATAGTTATTTTTATTTTGTTATTTTGATTATTTTTTATTTAACCCATCAACTTATCAACTAACCAATCAATTTTTGTACACCCACAGAACGTCATGTTTTAATGACATATAAAAAAGAAAAATAGACCAGCAATGGAAAATATTTTTATATCCTTTTTCTCATTCACGCTGAATATTTTTTTGTATATATGTATGTATGCAAGAACTTTAATAACAAAAAGGATATTCTTCATGTTTCCAATACGAAGAACAAACTGCATATTTAAAAAGTTTTTAATAATTAAAATTACTATTACAAGAGTGTGAATGTGAATTAGTCCGGGCTTTTAGATTATTTCTTAATAGCAAATGAACGCCTTCCTTAACAGTTCAAAATTTACTTTTAGGTAAATTTAAAGAGAGAATTAAAAAGTTTGCAACAAAGGGTGAAAAAGAGAGAATATAAAAAGGAAAGTAGGGCGAAACAATTTAAATTTTAAACCAGATTTAAACACATAAAATTGAAAAGTAATGATGGGGCGTATAGAAAGAATGAGCAGAGAGAATGATTATGAATTTCAAATCAATAAAACTTAAAAAAACAAACTTTCTCCATTCATATATTTCTGGTATTTATTCCTGAAACAAGAATAAATTTTAAATATTTCAACAACAATAATAAAAAGAATATTTAATGTGGC